CAACAACAAAAACCCCAGAACTTCATTTTCTTTCCAACACGGCTGGGTCCTCTTTGGTTCTGTTCACGGCATCATCGTTTTCTGAGCCTGGGCTTAAAGGCAAGTGTTTAGACTCCCTGGCGTTGACTTTCTTTGCCATTCCCCTTCGATGCCTATTCAATTTCTGTCCTTCTTTCCATTTCCAAAGCTACAATCTTCATTCTGGCTGTCATTCTCTATTGCTTGGGTTATTACAAAGCCTTCTGAATGGCCTTTCCACCTCCAGTCCTTCCTTCTAGGTAGAAAGGGGCCGCAGAAGGAAAGGGGGCCGTGGAGTTTGAGTCCCACCTCTGCCGCTTATTTCCTCTGTGACTTTCATTTCTTGCTCTCTCAATCTTACCGGCCCCATTACCAAAGCAGGGATGTTCCCTGCTTCAGGGCGTGAGGACGTACCTGGGGTAAAGTACCTAAAATATCTGGCACACTGTAAGTGCTCAATTAATATTTCCATTTCAAACTCGCTGCTCCCAGGCTGCAGTTGTAAGACAGACTTCTTCCTCACGCCCTTCCCTTATTTGAGCATTTCTTTTTCTACGAAAATAAGAACGCCTCGAGCCTAGCACTTGAGAACCCTATGGTATGTCTCCAGCGAATTGCCCCAACTCTGCCGTTCTCGACTCCTTCTTTTAAACACCACCATTTTCTCCATGTCTTTGCTAAAGCTCTTGCACGTGGACATGCATGCTCCGTCCTTCCCTCTGAGGCCATTCTAGATCCCTACAGCCAGATGCGGCATCTTCTCCTGACCTCCAAAGCACTTCTACTTCTCCTGTGCATCTGAATTATTTTAGTTGCTTGGGTTCTTTCTCTGACTTGCCTTCACTGCAAGGCTGAATGTCCCTTGATGGCATGTGCTGTTACGGCATCGAACCCAGAGCTGGCCCTCTGCCCTCTGCAGGAAACGCCTTACGCTGAAAACGAAAACAAACCTGCCCAGTCATGCTTCTCTTAGTCTACCGAAGTATCTTCTTCCCTGAGCTTCGGTTGGGCGTCCCCCTGCCCAGAAACAAAGTTGCACAGAGAAGCAAATCTCTCAGTGAAAGGCACGCACTGACACCAAATTCTGTTGGAAAAGGGTCCCCGAAGATCATCATCTTAAATATACTGCGCCGCCGCCGTTCCATCAGACCTGGTCTATTTACTGTTTTCATGAATCCCGGGAAACTCCCTTGGTGGAAATCACAAACTGATTTTGTTTACCTGTCTCCCAGGCCCTTGGGGAGCACTGTTCTTTTCATGTAGAAATATCTTTGTTGGGCAAATGGATCCTTGGGAATATCTAAAATTCCTCTTCTTTCTCATTCATGAATCAGTCTCCCGAACACTCATAGTCAGGGGCTATAGGGAAACAGAGCTGAGATGAAACATTCAGTTAAGCTTTTGTAAACAGAGAAACAGGGGTCCACAGAGCATCTTAAAATGAGTCTATAGTTCTTAAATTTGATCCACTTATAGTCTGTAGTATTAACATCTTAGTTATCAAACCACAGTTCTTAAACATATGCATATGTATATTACCCATCTTCTAGTTTACAAGGTGCAATTTGGGGATGACTGAGGCTGAAAACACGCTTTTATCATCATATGGAAGCTCATGTTGGCAACACCATTTGCAAAGCATGATTTTTTCAGAAAGTTAGAAACGTGGCTCTCATGCAAATAGAAACAACAAAACGGGTCAAAGATTTTATTAGATTCAATGCGCGAGGAAACCAGTTAGATGTTAAGACTGATTAGAAAGAAAATTAAAGACCCAGAGATTGGTAGCTGGTCAGATGAACGCGGAAATAAAGTTGCTAATGAACGTAGTACTGGTTCATGTCTCACCAGGCAATAACCTTGCAACACTACTCAACAGGAATCGCTTGTATTGCTTTCAGGTTTTCTACAAGTTAACCTCTAGTCTCATAAAGTTGTGAAATAGTAAGAGGTACGCAGCCATGGAAAATCAGATAATCCCCAGGGAGCATATGCGTCTGAACAACATCCAGCTCTTTTTTACTTTATTTTATTTATTTTTTAAGTAGGTTTCATGCCCCGCATGGAGCCCAACGTGGGGCTTGAACTCACAACCCCAAGATCTAGAGTGGAATGCTCCACTGACTAAGCCAGCCAGGAGCCCCGACATCATCCAGCTCAGTAATCTCTTTGACCTTTTTTCAAATTTTATATACTTGCTTTTGAAACTATTAACTAAGAGAGGCATGAAAACAAACCAATTTGCTTTCTCTGTGACATATTTGTAATGAAATATTTGAAAGTGGGCACAAACCTCTCTCCCCCCACCACTCATCAGCAATGTTTCAGCATGGGCTCTGGAGTCAGACTGTTTGGGTTCAAATCAAGGTTCCATCATTTACTGCTGGGTGACCCTGGGCAAATGACTTAACCTCTCTGCTCCTCAGTTCCCCCACCATAAAAGAGGCTTTTAAATAATAGCACCTTTGTCTTTGTGATGAAAAGAGATCATGCACAAGGGCTCAGTCAATGTGAATTGAATTATATCACTACTACTAAAAAAGGGTTAATTATTCTACCAGTCTTTATTCCAATATTAAAACATTTTGCAAAATAACCTGTCTTATGCCTTGTTACAAAGGGATCGGTTCTACATTTTAAGACGGAAATGAAAATAACGAAATCCTCAAGATGAGCCAATTAGTAAGCCAATTAAATAATAATTAAACATAAGAGGTTACAATAAATTCTAGATGTGTTGCAAGGATTATTTACTTTCAACTCTGACGCTGAAGGAACAAGAACTTATGAGTCAGGGGCGGCAGGAAATTAATCTCTCTGTTGAGTTAAGATGTTCCAGGCATTGTGCTTAGCACATATTCATTACACGTCAACAAACGAGTGTTTTCAGAAGAATACTTTTTCTCCCCCACTCCTTAAGGAAATACGCACAAAATAAAAGGCAGTAAGGAAAAATAACCGAAAAGAAAAATGTGCTGCAGCCTTAGAAAGTGGGTTTGTCACGCAAGTCAAACGCAGAAGCTGGGGTCTGCAATCATTTATTGTGCACAACAAAAAAGAAAGCACGTTACATATTGTCTTCCTTTCTGATTATAGTTACCAACATGTTGGTAAAAACGACCCGTTGGGAACACATGTCCTTTCACTATACATTGTTATTTTTATTTTGCCCACAGAATGCTGAGGAAAACACTGAATAAATACACATTTTATTAAACACACACACACACACACACACACGCCTCTTGTTACAAATTGATATGAATCAGTCTCCCTTTTGGCTTACATAACCTTAAATTAAAAAAAAAAAAAAAAACAGCAGGGGTGTGACCCACTAAAAACCTGTGGATAAAGACGGTTAAGTACTGAAGTTCAGAATTGGGCAGGAAGTAGCAATAAACCAAAATAGAAAGCAAAATAATTAAGAAAAATGACAACTCGTGTTGAAGTCTGGATACATTTGAATGTATTCAAGACTGAGAAAAGAACTTTCCTAAACTGCTGGGTTTTAGGAGGATGTTTCTGGGCTAAACTGAACACAAAAGAGAAGTTCCCTAAAGAAATTTTCTGAGCCAGAGGAAAATCAAATTATGCTTGAAAAACAAAAGCAAAGACTAACAACACTCTTGTCTCTCTGCCCCCACCCACTTCTTTGGACTGACTTCGGGGTAGGCTTTCTTGCTGGAGGCCATTTATTAATTCTATATTCTGTTACCTCAACACAACCAAATCTAGACTTAACCCTCTGTGTCCCGATGGGTGCATGGATGGGACAATTATTTTCAGTGAAAGTGCTCTCTCTTCCATTTCATACGTGCTGATTTTTTTTATGCAAAAAAGCTCAAAAAACAGTATAATGCTGATCTCAGGTTTTTAAAAAAGGTTTGGAAAAAAGCTAAGCGTGAGTTCATAAGTGAAGTAGATCTTTACTATTTTGCAAGGAAAAAAAAGGCAAAGGTAACAATATGATGCTGGAAAACAAAGCGATACGTTAGTTTTGCAAATTCATGCATTAGTCCTTTGCCAAGAGTCTCAGGTTGTAAAAATGTGTCAAAGAATGTGATAAAAGTGAATACACGATGGTTGTACTGAAGGCTCCCCACAACTGGACACACATTAAGATGTATTTCCTTAGTGGGAACGGGAAGTGGCAGCGGGAGACTTGTGTCTACAACGAGCACGTTGGAGTTCATTAGAAACTATCGTCCATAAATTAAATACACGTGAGGCAGCACGCCTGCCTGTCTTCAAGGGTCCGGTAGGTTCAACAGCAAATGACAGAATCAGAGCAGGGAGACAAGAGCGCCCTGAATACAATTAAGACTTATCTATGTGGTACTAGATAACAAGGGCTGTTTAAAATGGTAGATTTGGACTAGGGCTTATTTCTGAAGACTTCTATCGGAGGGAAACCCACATCAAAAAATGTGCTATGTTCGGATTTGCCTTTTATGTAATGGAAGAACAAAATACGGCAGGTGGGATTACACACGAAGAAAACAAAAATAGCAATTTCATCTGCCACAAGCAGAAGAGCTAGAACTGGGTGAAGAAAAATTGTTAATAGCCATTTCCATTTGGGGCAGGATGTCTATTTTAATGTACTTTTAACTCTGACTGGACTCTTAAATACAAAATGTTCTCAACATTTTGTGTTCTATTCTCAAGGGTGTATATTTATTTTAATGTTCATTAATTTTTCAGAGACAGAGAGACAGACACAGTGTGAGCAGGGGAGGGGCAGAGAGTGAGGGAGCCACAGAATATGAAGCAGGCTCCAGGCTGTTAGGTGTCAGCCCAGAGCCCAACCCGGGGCTTGAACTCAAGGACCGCGAGATCATGACCTGAGTCAAAGTCGATCGCTTAACCAAGTGAGCCACCCAGGTGCCCCTCAAGGGTGTATTTTTAACTCTGGGGGAAAAAAATGAGTAGCCCAACTATTTATTCTACCTTAAACTAATTTTTGTTTCCTGTCGTCTTCTCCATTCCTCAGATCACTGTACACAGTTCCGTGTAATGACACGGTTCCTTGATATCTCTCAATTCATTCTTGTCCTACCCTGGCAGAGAGTTGGAAATCCACGTCTGCTTTAACCTTATCAACAAGTGTTAACATATGATATGGAGGGATCAAGACGTCAATATGAGTGGAAAGGCCGGTGCAAAGAACGTCTGTGGAGGCTAAGACCACTCTCTGTTCTGTGCTCCCGCGTCCACTCTGAGTTCAAACACTGTGACAAACGAAAACATGGCCGACGCGGAAAACGCAAAACTGTGCGGCGTGGCTGACGGCACTGCTGTCTACATCCGCATCAGCTCTTGAGGTAGAAAATTTACTACTCGTTACTAGATGTGTGAATAATACCTTAGTAAAGCTGAAATAGAAAAGTTTAGAAACTGCACAAAGATGCTATGAATGTCCTGTATGTGCACGTCAGTATAAAGCTAACCTAAGTCAATCGGAAGGTTTGAGAAGGAGATGGCTTTGTGAATTTTTAAGTGTGTGAATTTCTCTAGAATTCTTAGATATTCTATGCGCTGATCTTCCATTTACTTGTACTTCTTTTATCTCCACTGCAAGAAGGAAAACCCAATCTTAAAGACTCGGGGGGCCACCCGTTTGCTTGTCCATGAGTCCTCACACAGACGCCAGCGAGCACGCTGGCCCAGGGACACGAAGCGGGGAGCAGAGGGTGGGCTGACGCTGCGTGTGGAGAGGATCTGGCGCTGGTGGTCTCAGGCGTGTGGGGAGAGGCTTGGGGGGGGGGGAAGAGGAAGTCTTAAGAGACTCTAACGAGCCCTTTGGGCTTAGAGTTCTCTGAGACTCAGGAGGTGAGATGTCTGCACAACGGCGCGTCCTCAGCGCTCCTTCACCATCAAATTCTGGAAACAGGGAACAATTCATCTCACGTTTAAAAGCTGCTGGCTTTGCACAATCGAGTTCTGGTACGCGTCACACACATTCGGGGGCTGAGGAACCAGCTAGTTTCACGGGGCGCCATCTTACGTCTTACGTCAGTACGAGGAAGTCCCCGTGGGTTTTTCTTAAAGGGGGAAGCGCGCATTTGCGGAAAAGAGGGTGAGAACTGGCAAGGAATGGCAGACAAGGTTCCTTCTCGGCGTGCCGGGGGCCCGTCCTGAACAAAGAGGGCAGGGACATGATGGTGTGTCTTATCGGCCTGCGTGGGAAACATAAACTGCTGCTCGCGTCAAGAGCGGCCTCCTACAAGCCCCCACGAGACGCCTCGCCTGATTCTGACTCCTGACCGAAGAGCGGGACACGCTGCCCTGCCTCTGGCCCTGACGGCGCAGGCGCAGGGAGGGAGGCGGGCCGGCATGGGAAGGTTAAAATCAGTGCCTAAACACAAAGTCCAGAGGGGCATCTGGGCTTGTGGTCCGCTGACCCCAGAAGCGGACTGCGCGGTCGTTAGGTGCCGAAGAGAGCGGAATTCTCAGCTCGTGATTCATCTCGGTCTGTTCATTCCGGTACAGGGTGGCTGGAAATCACAGTCACGGGATAAGAAAACGGCCGCCGCCCTCGTTCACTTTCTCATTTTGCCTTTACACACAAACTCGGCATAAGGGGTGTGGATGAAGTCATAGAGCTGCTTCGCGTTCGAGGCGTTGCCCAAAATACCCGCCAGCTTGTCTTGCGACAGGCTGGCCAGCTCTGCGATGTTCTTGACGTGGTGCATCAAAGCGCGACAGTTTTTGGCATTTACCCCTGGCATTTTCAACAAGAAGTCCTGGGGACCCGGATTATACTTTTCTGACTCCGGGAGGGTTTCCGAATCCGCCGTGACGGCCATGGCCGTGGCCGCGTCGGGCTGCGGCTTGTTCTGTTTCAGCTCCTCGAACAGCTCGGCGGTGGCGTGGGGGGAGGGGCACCAGAGAAGCCGGAGTCTGGGGAAGTGAAGCGTGAGGAGGGTGAGCTTGGAACTGACGTCATTGCCGGAGATCTCCTGGTGGAAGGCACCTCGGGAAGTGAGCGAGAAGGGCTTGCTGGGGTCGAACTCGATCAGGAGCACCGGGCGCTTGTAGTAGCGGGACATGGAGATACACTGGCCGTAGAGGCGGCCGTTGTTTAAAGAGCCAATCAAATCGCTGATGCTCTTGCGCTCCACGCACATTTCGGGAGTCAGAATGTAGTCTCCGACCTCCAGCGTCACCGGTTCAATGTCAATGCCCCGACGGTGGATCAGGGATGGGAGTTCGCTGCGGAACTCACGCATATCCACAACTATACTTTGCTGGGTACCGTTCTGCTCCTGGCCACCTGTTAACAAAAGGTGGCACGGTAAGTGATGTCACTGAGGAAGAAGTGTCAAGGACGAAGCAGAACAACTAACGTTTAAAATCTGGGTTGCTGCTGCTAACCTCGGATCCGCTGTCATATAATAACCCATGCTTATTCCTCCTTTTTCTCTCTTTTCAGAAAGGTCTGTTTACAGAGTCACTAAAGGCGATTTTCTCTTAAACTGAACAGAGTTAAAAGGAAAAGTCACAAATGACTCCCGAACACCAGCGTTCACTGTTGCCTTCTCTCTGGCCCTCTAAGAACCGTCCCTGATGGTTGCACACGGCCCCACTCTACTCCTGATTCCCACGGCAGAGCCAGAGTCCGGCACATACTAGATGCCTAAAAAGGCTCGCTGAGTAAACCGCCTTATAAGCTGCTGTGAGAACCTTTGGAGCTGTTAGTGCTTGTCCCAGTGAGTCCGGAGGCGGGAAAATGGAAGAAGGTGGGAAAAACCGTAAGCCGGTAGACCAGAACCTCTCACACTTGAATGTGCACAGAACAGCCTGGGAGCAAGTTAAAGGCAGTTCTGTGTTCAGAGGGTCTGGGGTAGGGCCCAAGACACCGTGTTTCTAATGAGATCGCAGGTGGGTGCTAAGGATGCTGGCTGAAGGACTACACCCGGAAGGACCAGGGGCTGCTGTAGGCAGAATGGTGGCCCCTTTAAGATGCCCGCATCCTAATCCCAGGAATGTGTAAATATATTACTTTACGTGACAAAGGGGACTTTGCACATGTGACTAAATTAAGGATCTCAAGATTGGGAGATTATTCTGGATTACCCAGGCCCACCTCAAGGGTCCTTACAAGTGAAACAGGGAAGCAGGAAGGTCAGGGTCAGAGGCGCTGTCTTTGAAGGTGGAGGAAGGGCCAGGAGCCAAGGAGCACAGGTGCCTCTAGAAGGTGGAAAAGGCAAGGAGATGGGGTCTCCCCTGGAGCCTGTGGGAGGGGCACAGCTGGCTTATACTTTGGTTTTAGCCCAGTGAAACCCATTTGGCCTCCAGAATTTGAAGAAAATAATCACAAGATAATAAATATGTATGTTTCGGGGGCACCTGGGTGGCTCAGTCAATTAAGCGTCTGACTTCGGCACAGGTCATGATCTCACAGTTTAGGGGTTTGAGCCCCACATTGGGCTCTGTGCTGACGGCTCAGAGCCTGGACCCTGCTTCCGATTGTGTCTCCCTCTCTCTCTGCAACACGCCCCCACTTGTGCGCCCGCTCTCTCTCTCTCTCTCAAAAATAAATAAACATTCAAAAAAATGTATACTGTTTCAAGCCACTGGATTTGTGGCAAGTTGTTATGGCAGCTGGAGGGCCTGGAGGACTGAACTCAGAAGGACGGACTTCTGTAAACGGCGTTCTGCATGGCGTCTACGTGCTCAAATCTCACTTCCTTCGTATGGCTGATGTTCGGTAGTTCTGCGTGAAATGTCAGCAGCCAATCTGAGTCAACGAGAATCTTCTTCAAAAAAGACATAGATGCTCTGAGGCCAAGTTTCCCAAAGTAGGGTCTTGGGATCACTCCTATCAGGAGGCCCCGAGAGGCCGATCCCATTCCAGACTCACTGAGTCAGAATTTCCATGGAGGGGGGCCTGTGGATCCGCAGTTTTGACAAGCCTCTGGGGTTATTCCCGAGGACCCTGACGTCTGGAGTCCTGCTGCTCTAAGCAATCTCGCTCTGGACGCTAAGTCAACTCAGTCATATTGCTTTCCTCATGCCACCTGGCTGGCAGCAGCCACCGCCAGGGGGAAACGGGGACTTGGGGAGGGGGACAGGGTTATTCCTGGGTCACACCGCGCTCGGAATTCGGCAGCTTTTGCTGGCATGCCACAGTGCAGACCGCAATGAGGGCGCCACACACCCGGGATCGGGAGACGTGCCAAGAGGCAACGCGCGGACACAGGAAGAGAAGTGGGGACGTGCCCCGCACAGCTCCTGCCTACCTGTGAGGTAAACCGGCTTCTCTGGGCGAAGGTAAGAACCTAATTGCCACTTGTACAGGTTCCTTGAGTTCTGTATCTCAGCCAATCACATTTGCGAGCAATGCCGGGGCGTGACGGATTCCGAGGTTGGGGCGCCTGGAGCACCAGCCCCCTTATTTTACAGATGAGCAGCCAACGGCCCGGGAGGGACACATGGTTAGCGAACGTCAGCGCGGGCACCGGGTATGGGAGCAGGCAGCCACCTGTACGAGGTTGCTGAGAAAAACCTCACCTCTGCGGAGAAGCTCTGGAAACCCACAGCCTCCTTTACAGGCGACGGGGGTGCCCGGCAAAGGGCAGGACTCACCTGCTTTCCTCGTGTCAGTGGGCGAGCCTGTGGACGCGGAGCCTCTCACCAGGTCCAGGTTCCCCTCATCTCTCCCTTCCCTCCCTTCAGGCACAACCATGCTAGCCTTCTCCCTGGGGCGGAAGATATTTTAGACATTTGTTTCAACTAATTTCAAAATTCCAGATTTTAAATTTCCATACATTATAAGAAAACGATCTGCGCGACTATAGTGGCAAAGAGAACACAAGAAATATGTTAGACCAGCAAGCACAGCAAATACACACGGATGAACGACGGGCAAAGGAAGGAGAAAAGAGTTTCTTGGTTGGGTGCTACTTCTGATCTTCCGGAGTCACAAAATCTGTTGTTTAGTTTCCATTCTGTGCGTCCTTCAAGCACTTTGACACATGAAATAAGCATGCAAAAATGCCACAGACAGATGGAGATTTTTTATAAAGATGTGCTAATGCGTTTCTGAGCGTTAAAAATGATGCAAGCCACTTATATTCCAATACTCTCAGGGTAAATCATAGGTAGAAATGTTAAAAATCAGTGATTAAGAAAATGAAAGCACAGATGATACAACTTTGATTTAAAAAAACAGGTGGGAGCCCTATTAAACACTTGGAATTTTACAAGACAATCCAGAGTAATACAAATTTCCAACAGAGATTCAACACAAAGATCGACGTCTCAGGTGAGACAACAGAGCAGCACGGATTCATTCACTCGTGCATTTGCTGAAAAACCTTTCCGGAGTGCTCCTCCCTGCTGTGCTAGGTGCTTCGGATTTAAATATGGTTACACAACAAATCCTGTCTTCGAGGTAGCTCAGTATCTCACAGCTGGTCGACGGACAGGACCGAACTATCATAACTAAGGTTTGTGGTCGGGAACTACAATCCTCAATGACCAAAGAAAGAGCGGACCAGGCTTGCCACAGTCGTATTTTTCAGAACCAATGAAGTTGGTTATAGTCAATTCATGAGCCGGCAAGCGCTGTGTGTCTGACTGGTGCCGGGAACGGCAGAAAGGATGCACAAAGCCGGGTCTCCTCCCTCGTAGAAACGGAGTCGAGAAAACAGAGCGAGGGTGAAACAACAGCGGCACTGACCAACGGCGGTCACAGAGCGCGGCGTAAGGTGAAACAGAAGGGGGATATTTAGTACTCACTAATAATTTCAGGAAGGGCTGAAGCAACAAAGATTTTCCAGTTAAAGGAAATAAAACCAGATGGACCGATTTTGCGACCAACTCTGGATAAGTGATGTTTTAGCCACTACGAGATACCACCAAAGAACAGAAATTACGATTTTAAGTCCTATATGTACCCTTTGAAACAATATACAAAGTTATTATTAGTACAACGTTTTATAGCTAAATGGCCCACGGGGGCGGCCACAGTACCAGTCCCATTTTTCCTGTTTTTCTCAAAATCAGTGTCCACCGTGGCCCTGCTGAAATCGGCTTGGCAGTGGCCGCGGCCCCAACAGCCACTCATTACGGATCCGTGACACCCGCTAGACTCTAGTTGAGGACAAAGAGCAATCTATTCAGAGAAATAATTGCTCGTTGACTTCTTTTTCTTTAACATTTGGGATTAATATTAGGGATTTTTTTTTTTCTTTATTTCCACTTACTTTACTGGTTACGCTACTTATCACACATGGGGGCATCCCAATTTTCTGATTAATTTGTAGTCTGTGAGCGGCGTAGTGGGTTAGCGTACGAACCTGTATTTTGTGGAATCGGAAACCACTCACTGGCTGTGTGGTCTCAGGCAAGCAGTTTAATGGCTCTGTGCCTCAATTTCATCTGTAAAATGGGGACAATAATAAAACCTACCCTAAAAGAGGCACGTTAGGAGGATTATCCAATACATGTAAAGTACTCAGAATAGCGCTTGGCATATAAAAAGCATTATAAAAGGTTAGTTGTTATTATAATTCTACTTTTCTTATAATGTGGTAAGTTCACCCCTTAATTATCCATGATAATGCTAAAACACTGGAGATTTGCCTTCAAAGGATTCCACGAGGGTTTCAATGAATAAAACAGCCAGTTTACCGTGAAATGTTGCACAGCATAACAGCAAATGGAATCTGAGAAAAGATAAGCTCCTGAAATGAAGCCTGGATTGGGAGGAAAATCAGAAGTCTCCCTCAAATGAACAGAAATCTGCCATAATTATAAACGTTCACTCCTTCGCCTTCAACATTTAGCATGATTACCCAAGTTCCATATGACAGAAAATAATTACAAGTGCAGACCCCTCTTCCCACTTAATCTAAAGTACTGAGGTTCCTTATTTTTACTTCAGCATCTTTAATGATATTTGAATAGCTTGTATAACGTGATGATGTTAGGGAGGAGGTGCTGAACCGTAAGTCTCTTCCAACGGGCACGCATTCTGGCCTTCATGCTAACTCACTTTGGGATCGCGAGCTATTCAAATAACCTCACCCCCGCCTTTGCAAAGCAGTGACCTCTCCAAACTATGTCTACTCGGAACGTTACGGCCAATCTTTCTACCCGGGGAGCGTTTTATTATCAATACTTAGGAGTGCCATTTTTTTTTTTTTTTTTTTTCTCCTGTCATTGGTAACCCACTGATCTTGCCCAGACAAGCCATCTGTTCAGTGCCAGTTTGCGGGATTCATTCCTTTCTGGTTGTTTTAAATAGTAGCACTGCTTTTATTCTTACGACATCACCCACGGAGGTCCTGGCAAAAGCACATTGTCTTTTTCTCACATTAAATTTCTCAGTACGGGCTCAGTGCAAATGCTCTTTCAGCACCACACCTCATATATATTTTCCTTTTCAAAACAAACACTTCTCAAATTCCCCAAGTTTTCTGGGAAAGTAAACATCTTGAGAGTCTAGATGGTGTAACTTCCTGATTGCTGTGTAATATGGGAAGATCTAACTTCTAATAAGTAGACAACCACCATTGAGTTAGGAGATTAGGCTGGACCACAGATAAAATTACATTAAACTCTGATATGGAAATGATCATGTAGACGGAAAGGCAGGGGACAGTCCGTATTCCAGATTCTGCCGGCTGGTTTCTAGGACATGCCAGGCTTACCCACAGCTTATCACCGAGCCATGTGATGTGGAGGCTCGCTCCAAAATACGAATGGCCCGGGGTCCCCGGCAGCTTGCTACAATCTACTAAAAGGACTCTTTTCTAGATGAGGTTCCCTGATGTGTTCGACAAGAGGCAGCCTGGAGCACAAAACCTCACCTGCTCAGGCCTTCTCCCCCCCACATCCCACCAGGCTCCTTTGGCTACGCCGCTGCAGGAAAGGCCCAGTCTCCCGAGGACTGGCCCTTGACCAGCTTCTGGGAGTTGAGCTCTGAACCCTTGCAATCGTCTGCCTCATCAAGGGTTTTGCACGCCAGAGGCCTGGGGCTACCTGGCCCCGGTCTGATCAGATGCTTTATGCTAACCTGATGTGGCGTAAATACCTGCTCTTGCTCTGGGGGGCTGGAGAACTACAATCACGATGGGTACTCTGTGCTCACGTGACTGATCCCCAGTAAAAACTCGGGGCCCCAAGGCTCTGGTCAGCTTCCCCGTTGACAACCCTTAGCACGTGCTGTCACTCACCGCAGCTGGGAGGATGAAGCACATACATCTGTGTGACTCCACGGGGAGAGGACACCTGGGGGTTCCACCTGGTTTTTCCTGGACTGTGCCGCATGGGTTCTTACCCTCTGCTAATTTTAATCTGTATCCTTTTGCTGTAATAAACCATGACTGGGAGTATACCAGTGTTTTCTGGCTCTCGTGGGTCCTCCGGGTCGATCCCCAATCTCAGGAGGGTCTCGCGGACCTTCACAGGAACGCCAGTAACCTAATCTGAATGGTCTTAGCTCTACGTGCTCATTTGGGACTTGGTGACCATCAACCAGAGCACGCTCGGGCAGAGGACGTTTTAAGAAGAGCGAAGGAACAGTGAGGAGGTACCGACCCACATCTAGTAGCACCAGCTCTCCGGTTGCATCTGCAAATCTCTGAAATCTGTTCCCTTCTCCTCGTCAGCCTAATCTTGGCTACCACCTTTTCTCCTGACTTGCTTCCCTGTTCCATCCCTTCCCCAGTTTGATGCCAGAGAGCGCCTCTAAAAATAGACTTCCCACTTAGAACGCTTCGGTGCTGTCTCACTGCCTCCACAGTCACGTTCTCGATCCTCACCAGGGCTTCCTGTATCTCGGCGCCTTCACGCACACTCCTCTCCGCCCTGTCGACTTAGCACCTAGGGCACATTCTTCACGCGTCGGCTTACGTGTCACCTCTCCAACGAAGCCACCCGTTGTCCCCACGCCGGGCCTGGTCTCTCTGGCACCCGCTACCACACCCTGTTCTTTCACCACTGTGGCCGGGCTCCATACAGGTCCGCTTAGTGTAATATTCCTGGTCACTTAACGCTCGTCTTTTCCACCAGAGGATGAGCTCGAGCAGCACAGGGACTTCCGGCACTGCTGTGACTACAGCATGTTCCTAGTGGCACAGGGCTTGGCACCTCAGAGATGCCCGGTACATGTCTGTTGGCGGTTTTGAGAGAGAGTCTAGAAGGCACAGAAGAAACGCTAAAAGCTTTGGACAGGAAGAGGCAGCCTGTTGAATACCTGGTTGGTTACCACGCTTTCTGAAATATTTTGCCAAAAAACATAAGTACACGCATATAAACCATCCCACAGAGCCTGTTAATAGAAAATACTTTCATAGGCTAAAAGGACTGGCCAGAAGCTGGAAGAATCCACGGCCAAGGCACATCGTACTCACAGAGGATTTGGCGGGGGGAAAGGGTACTGCCCATGTAACGAGCTGAGCCCCTCCACAGGGACCTAGCGGCACGGATTCAGTAAGCACCCGTTTCCAAGAAAGCATGCCCCGGAGGAAGTGGGGTACGGGGACATTTTACGTGTATACTGAGAGCCCACAGCCAGTGTTAGAGGAAGGCTGTCCACTGTGAAATTCTGTGGGGAGCCCTGGTGGGCTGACAGCCAGTGACAATGATTTCCGCCCTCTCGTTGCCACTGATACACTGCCAATGTCTGAGGCTTGGACGATTGGTCAGTCCAAGCCACGGTCTCCTCCACTCTAGCCTTTTCTCTAGCTCAGCTCGAGGATGCCCCGTCCAGCCCCTACCCTGGCTTTTGAGGCCCCTCAGAGATCATGTGGCCCATCTTCCCTCACCAAGCTGCCACCTCCTGGACAGCATCCCCTGGTGCGAGGTTATCAGATTTCCCCAGGACCTAGGGGGGGTAAAAGGTAGCTGACCGGTTTGTGCGTACCTCACTTAGAACATCTGCCTTATGTTACACAGAAGAGCATTTTCGATTTGGATTCGGCACGCTGCCAGACGCTCATCCTAAAACTCATACACGAATGTTTGGGTAAACGTCACACCGTCAAAAAAAATGTCTTCCTGGGGTGATTCTACTGCTGGTGATCTGAAGTGACTGGGTTGTAAAAGCATTTCCCGGCCAAAGGGAAGGCAGTCACCGACCCCAGACCATGGAAATTTTACAAGGAGGAACTAAATCATCACTCCAAGGCAAAGGAGAAATCTCGTGCATGGGGGTATGGGAAATTTAAGAACGTTATTTCTTCGGAAAGTAGTCGGTCGAGCTGTATTTTTGGTGTTTTGCGTCGCATGTCTTTACAAGCAGAGAAGCAGATCTCTCCGCGTTTCCAATATTCTGTCAAACCATCGAAAGGCAACCCGAGACGGGGGAGAAAGGAGAAAGGTGCACGTACCCCAGGGATGAAGCGGACCATAGGTTTATCTTGACGCGATCCTCCCAGGGTCTCCCCGTCTCCATCCCTCCTGAGGGCGATTATGCTATGCCTCCACTCAGAGAAGCCCCTAGACCTTGAAAGTTTCCATGTATTATTACCTTATGAGTTTTTCAAAAGCTTCCTTTTCTTTCCGCAAAGCCGTGAGATAGCGCTGTTCCTCTGTTGAGCCTCCGTATATAAGAAAGTAAACCCTGCCAGTTAAAACAGAACTCTTTTAGGCTGTAAAAACATAATTTTTAATCCCTAAAAGGACGAGCACAGCACAGCATTTGTGCATTGTGCATATGTGCAGCATTGCAGCAACCTAGAGGGCTGCAATAATAAATATTTGACCAAGAATAAAAGGTTCCATTAATCACACACCTAAAAACGAAGCTGCCTAAACCCCCACCTGTTAAAAGTCTCATTACCACATTTTTTTGCCCTCTTCACAGAAAGGAGGAACAGAGTTTAGGTAAACACTGAAATATAACTAGAGGGAGAGAGTAAGTCTTGCCTCAGAAGTATAAACAAATCAGAAAACACAGAATCTCGGCGGCTTCTCTTTTGTCACTTTTCTCTTTACCCCTCTGCCAAACGATAATTTGAAAAGCTGGCTGCTAGTTATAAAACGCAGCTTGTGAAAGTTCATGCCAGCGAGAAATAAACACATGAAATCTATATGACCTTTATCTTCCTTCTCGGTTCTTTTTTACCCATGTCTTAACAGAACCGAGTCAGTGCACGTTTTATATAAACACATGGGCATGGAAGACATATGGATGCTATCAGCCTCAAGACAATAATTCGGTATATTATTTTCTCTTAGGAAGGGCAGCTTTCCTATCTTGTTTGTTGCTAAGAGGCTGAATTAAGCACCTTGTCTGTCCTCCTTCTTCACCTTTTACTGGAGGTTTTCGGCCCTCAACTTTTCTTCCAGATGTCATACTCCTAGGTTATCTTTGAAGTGCGGACCGCTCAAAAACAAAAAAAACATACAAAAAAACACATTGGACAAGGAGTCCAGAGACCTCAGCTGTCCCCCAGAGGTGCGACATGGCCACGGGCAAGTAACTCATCACTTCTGGGCCTCAGTTTCCCACTGATGGAGACAGCAGTGGAACCCCAAGGTCCCTTCCAATTCTCACATTTTGTTTTCAAATATCACACTGTTCCATTCTCAGGCAACAGACAACTTTACAGCGAACAAGCTATCTACACAGGTGATCAATAGCAAAGTATGAAAAATCTACCAGCCTATAATTACTTGACCAGCTTCGTCCAATCTCTTCATCCTGTGTTATTTCTGACCCACCTGCTCCATTCATCTCTGCTCGGGAAGGTTGTGTCAGGTAAGCCGCTGGGAAGGCTTCTTTTGGCTCTGTTTTTGGTTCAGACTGAGTTCAGGATATTAATTTTGCTGTTTATTTCCTTCAGATAATTGGAGGGCCAGAACACTATATTCTTTGAGAGGCATCCTTTTCTCAATCTGATATTTCTCTAGATTTTTTTAGCTGCTAATTCTTGAAACTCAAGAAAACTTGGTACAATAATTCCCCAAACACTTTCGTTTTATGTGGATGTAACTTAGAGTCACTTCAAATTTATATGGATGACCTTTCAGAAGATCGAAATTACGGAGGTGAGTCATAACTACAGTAATTTTGGGTGGAGGTTATGATATTATAGATTTTCTGGCCTTGTTCAGATCCAGCACCCCAGAAGCTACAACCAATGCATAAGGCACACAGTATGGAACAGCAGGGCGGTAAGTAATGGGAATACAAATCATTCCCTAGATTTGTTGTTCTGCTAGGCATCTGACACGCTTCATATGCAAACTTCCTAGATTGGTCAGAAAGCAAAAGAAGGTTTCATAAACTCCACCCACCCATCATGACAACAGATCGTTAAAGACAATCCATGTGTAGCTGGTGCAGTGTCTGTGTTAAAGCCTGAAGAACTGTGAGATTGGAGCCTTTCAGAAATAGTTCAACGGATGGACTATTACTTGGCCACGAAAAAGAATGAAATCTTGCCATCTGCCACAACGTGAATGGACCTCAAGGGCAGTGTGCTAGGCGAAATAAGCCAGAGAGAGAAAGACAAATAAATACCATATGATTTCACTTACAAGTGGAATCTAAAAAGAAACAAAACAAATGAACAAACAACAACAGAGAGAGAGACTCAGACAGCGAACACAGTGATGGTTGCCAGAGGGGGTGTGGGGAGAATGGGCAGAATGGGCGACGGGGATGAAGAGGTACAAACTTATAAAATAAATAAGCCGCGGGATGAAAAGTACAGCATTGGGAATATAGGCGATGATATCGTAACACACTTATCATGGTGAGCATTTTAGAACGTATATAATTGCCCAATCACTGTGTTGTACGCCTGAAACTAATCGAACAGGTCAAGCTATACTTCAATAACAGAGATATATATATATATATATATATATATATATGCATCAAAAAAGAGAGAGGAAAGAGCTCATGTTCTTTATAACTTGCCTCAGAGGCTTCCCGGGCCTACTCGCCCGGTAAATCTCAAGCTGGCGAACAAACGTTAGCTCGGCGTCGTACAGAACCACGTATCTCGGTTCCACCTCGTGTAGCACCCTTGTCAGAGCGTAGGGGTCACTGCAGCCCAAGAGAGGGTGGATGATGGTGAGCGGGTCTTTCAGTATTCCATAAGCGGCATCGGATGACAAGTTTAAGTCAAATTCCTCGTGCTTGATTTCTTCTAAGGAACTGTCTGGGCTACTGCCCGTGTCTCCAGCACAGCGTTCCTTGGCATCCCCTTCCTCTTCCGGTTCTTCAGGCTTTCCTATCATCTGTGTTAAAGTTAACCGCCGCTTCTTCTTCTTGAGAGTCCTTTCTTTGGGGGCAGCCCTCTGTTTGCTGTGGGGGTCTTTAGGCCTTTTGTGAGATTTCGCCATTCTCTTTGCACTGTCCTCACTTCTAAATTGCACCCACACGTCCTCGGCTTTGCTGTCCCTCTCAAAGGTCTTCCTGTAGAGCCTCAACAAGAAGGCCTCTGCTCCGATCGTGATATACTCTCTCAGCTGGGAACACGTTCGCTCATCACTTGCACAAATCAGTACCTGACCTAAAATTACCAAACAGCGTAATGTTACCATTACCTCACGTGTCCCCCCACCGCCACCACACCCCCGTTCTCTGTCCGCCTGCTCGCCTCCTCCCCTGACAAAGAAGACACATCTTACCCCTTGGCGCATTTACAATTTGTTTAAAAAGGGTCTCAGATGCTTATCAAATGCTTTCCCTCTCTGACAGGATTAGTGAAATCTTTTGAGTAAAGTTGAATCCAGAAACATTTAGTCTTAGGAAAGCCTAGCCGTGGTATAATGGAGGCTTTACAGAAGCTCTTTTTAATTAATAATTTTCCAGAGGATTTTATATGCCAAAATAAATTCCAAATGGATTACTGAGTCAAATGTTAAATATTAAATCATTAAAAAAGAAAGGCAACTACTCTCCATCTCTGTGGATGGAGATGATTTTCCAGGCTTAAAAACACTGGAAGATATCTCAGACAAGACTGATATCTATAATCTGAGAGGGACTCTATATAAGAAAAAAACTGTGCATTAAGAAAGCTAAAGACAGAAAAACGACTTTACAAAACAACTATCAGAAATGATAGTATCTTTAATATATAAAAAGCCAATACAAACCGAGGACATAACCTAATTTGGCCAAGGAAAAGAAAGACAATTCACCAAAGAGGAGAAAGCATTAAGAAAACATTGTGCTTGGGGCGCCTGGGTGGTTCAGTCGGTTACAAGTCCGACTTCAGCTCAGGTCATGATCTTATAGCTCATGAGTTCGAGCCCCACATCGGGCTCTGTGCTGACAGTTCAGAGCCTGGAGCCTGCTTCCGATTCTGTGTCTCCCTCTCTCTGACCCTTTCATGCTTGTGCTCTGTCTCTCTCTCTCTCAAAAATAAATAAACATTAAAAAACATTTTTTACATTAAAAAAAGAAAACATTGAGCTTAGCAAACACCAAATTTCAAAGGAACATTTTTCTCCAAATTAATAAAATTGTTACACATATGTATGTATATACACACTCGAATATATGATCTCCAGTCACTGCTAAGTGAAAAAGAGATGAGCTCTTACATTGCTAGAAGAAATGAAAACTCATAAAAATTTCATGTAAGTCAAATGTGGTAATATGTCTCAAGAACGTTATCATTTGACTTGCTAATTATATATCCAGAAATTACATTGCACTGTGACCTTAACAATGTGAAACAGAAAATACAGAAAAGAAAACCTGGAGGAAATACACCAATGTGGCTTCTAGACATAATTTTTTTTCCCCTTCTCTTTTTTCTTGGTACTTTTCAATTTTCCTAAGGGAGCAGGCATGACTCGGAGTCTTAAATCAAAGTACCATACGTTCTCAGATAATATCACCAGCATATTTACTCATGTAAGAATTATGTGCTTGCCTTTACTGATTCATAGGAGTTCAAAGTCTCAATAGACTAAAGAAAAATCTAGTTTTTGTAAACATCTGGTTTTGGGGCGCCTGGGGGGCTCAGTCGGTTAAGTGTCTGACTTTGGCTCAGTCGTGATCTCACGGTTTGTGGGCTCGAGCCCCACGTCAGGCTCTGTGCTGACAGCTCGGAGCCTGGAGCCTGTTTCAGATTCTGTGTCTCCCCCTCTCTCTGTCCCTCCCCTGCTTGTGCTCTGCCTCTGTCGCTCTCTCCAAAATAAATAAACATTAAAAAAAAAAAAGTAAATATCTGGTTTTATTTAAAAAAATTTTTTAGTGGGTTTGGTCTACGATGCTAATCTACTAGTATACTCAGGCTTGAAGAGAGGGGCCCTAAAATCTGGAATTTTTTTTTTCAGGGCCACGTCAGTGTTGATCCACAGAACAGTTGAGACGTCTTTGGAAAGACACTTGCTGAGAATATAAAACAAGCCCATTAGCTTTCTCCTCGGGGGATTCTAGATTGAAATCATGGTGAATGTGTATGTGGAGATTAGCTGCATCTTTAAATAGAAGTCCTGAGAAGTCAACCAGCCCAGCAAGACAGCCTGCTTTCTACAAGTATGCAAGGATTCAACCAGGAGAAAATCACATCAAACGAACAGAAAGGAGGCTGTTCATCTGGCACTTATTCTTTTACGTCTGATAAACAAAATAACAGTAAGTTACTTTTTTTTTTTTTTAATTTTTTTATTTTTTAACATTTATTTTTGAGACAGAGAGAGACAGAGCATGAACGGGGGAGGGGCAGAGAGAGAGGGAGACACAGAACCGGAAGCAGGCTCCAGGCTCTGGGCCATCAGCCCCAGAGCCCGATGCGGGGCTCGAACTCACAGACCGCGAGATCATGACCTGAGCTGAAGTCGGACGCTTAACCGACTGAGCCACCCAGGCGCCCCAATAACAGTAAGTTACTTTTAAAGGACTAATAACGAAGACTCATTTGCTCCATTTTGAAAGCAAACGTCCTCTTTTTTTTTTTTTTCCTACCTGGACCCCCAAGCGCTTCACTCTCCTTATTTTCCGCCTCAATTTCTTTCAGTACTTCGGTCAGAGCTTCCCACTTCGGGTTGCTTTCTAGCACCAATTCCTTTTTTGTTTCTGTATGGGAATAAAAGGATAACCTCATTCTCCAGGGTAGTATTCACCTGTAAAGTGTTCCACAGGCTTTCCAAACAACACAACACAGACAACACAAGCGTCATTCCAAAAGCTTGTTCTTTTGAGCTTCCTTCCTGATGCCAGATAGAAACTACTTTCTTGAAAAACGTCTCTTTAAGGTCTAAATAGAAGATATTTGAAACCGACATTAACAGAGGTTTCATAGTGGGGCGCCTGAGTGGCTCAGTCAGTTGAACGTCCACTCTTGGTTTCGGCTCAGGTCATGATCTCACGGATCATGGGTTTGAGCTCACATCAGGCTCTGTGCTTACAGCATGGAGGCTGCCTGGGATTCTCTCTCTCCCTCTTTCTCTGCCTCTCTCTGGCCTGCACACATGCTCTCTCTCAAAATAAATAAATGAACTTTAATTTAAAGGAAAGAGAGGTTTCATAGTGCCTTGAGAGAAAGTTACATGTATGTCATGAATTTCAGATGATTCTGTATTAGTTGTCAACCGTGATACTATATATAAGCTGCTACATAAAACGAAAGAATTAGTACAGAGGAAGAGTATTTATTATTTCTAATCCGCATGACTTTCACATTCCTGAAAATGGAATACAAGGAGACCACAATCAAACATTTCTGTAAGTACCCAAACGCATCACTAATGTATTTAAGTTTTGAACTAGACCTTTGAACTAGGCAGAAAGTCAGCATCAATCCTATCCCATGCTTTAAAAAAACCAATGAGGGGCGCCTGGGTGGCTCAGTCGGTGAAGCCTCCGACTTCAGCTCAGGTCACGATCTCACGGTCCGTGAGTTCGAGCCCCGCATCGGGCTCTGGGCTGATGGCTCAGAGCCTGGAGCCTGCTTCCGGTTCTGTGTCTCCCTCTCTCTCTGCCCCTCCCCCGTTCATGCTCTGTCTCTGTCTGTCTCAAAAATAAATAAACATTAAAAAAAAATTAAAAAAATAAAAAATAAAAAAAACCAATGATATTTGTCATACCCACTAGATAAGTATTGGAATAAACCTATTCTTGCCTCATTCTGGTATATTTATTTTTGTACAGCTAAAAGGAATGGTAAATATTCTGTTAAGACTGTAAGTGCCAAAAGTAGTTATTATTCTGAAGTAAAAAAAAAAAAAAAAGTATCAATCAATAGTTCTTATATAGCAGTAAGAACACTCCTGACTGATATTTGGCAGTTGTTATCCGGAATCCTCTAACAACGGATTCTAGGACTTGCCACGCTGGATACTTTCAACTTACGTTACACATAACACGCCTTTAACATACAGGCACGCATTCTTCACACAGCTGAAGGAGACTGAGGATTACACGTTGACTTGGTAAGAATTTTCACATCAAATACTTAAATAAGAGACACAGTTAAAGATGAAGCCTACAGGATACCTTGCACTTGTTCAATTTCCGTTTTTTCAGACACTTTGCCTTTTTTGTTCATTTTGGCATCTGGAAGATGATAAACCCTTGCTCGAGCATTAACAAACATCGAGGTGCTGGAGTCAAGAAAGAGCCAACCTAATATGAAAAGTTAAAAAAAAAAAAAAGGCCTTCAATTTGGGATGAATTTTAAAGACTCTCTGATGGTCACATGCCCTATCTATAAAACTACCTGCCATCGTGTTCTCTGAACCGTACCTTCTCCCTTACTGAGGCCTCACTGTTTGATTAGGCCAGTGGGCTTTCAAAGTGTGGCCTACTGACCTCTGGGGGCCACCAAAATGTTTTCAGGGAGTCTGGACCTCAAAACTATTCTCAGATGAGTAATAATTCCTTATTTGGTTTTTTCCCCACTGTGTTGACATTTCTGGTAATGGTGCAAAAGCATTGGGGGGTAACACTGCTGGGCGCCTGAGCGTCATCAAGGCAGTAGAACCAAAGAGTACTAGTGGTCAATGTGTTCTTCACTGCTGTGCATTCGTAGCTTATTACTTAATGTCCCTGATGAAGCAATAAAAACTATTAATTGTAGGGGCGCTTGGGGGGCTCAGTTGGTGGAGTGTCTGACTCCTTTCTGTTCAGGTCATGATCTTGAGGTTGTGGGACTGAGCCCTGCATCAGGCTCTGTGCTGAACATGGAGCCTGCTTAATATCCTTTCTCCCTCCCTCCCTCTCTCTCCCTCTGCCCCTTTTTCCTGCCTGCTTGCTCTCTCTCTCTCAAATAAAACAAAATAATTTTTAAAAGTTAAAAACATTACTAATGGTAGTAAATCTTGGCCTCAGAGGACAACGGACCCCATTTTGAAAATCAACGGTCTAGTCAAACAGTGACAGAGGTCACATTAGTGGGGCAGATGTGGCTGGTAGAAAAACAAGACGGTAGTCAACTGTTTAAGTACGTTTCTCTACAAATCTCTTCAGTCCTCAGCACTCTAGCTGATGAAACCCTAAACTCCCTTGCTGTTTCTTAGGAGAAAATGAATTTGAAGTTCTTAACAACTAAACTTCCAGAACACAACCTATTTCTAAGTTGGGGACTGCCTGTAATATACAGAGTCTTTTCTAGAAATAAAATTGCCCGGAATGGATATGAATATTTATTATTATACAGAACAGAAGTTCAGTAGGCGGAAACATTAGCTATCAATAAAACCTACATCCTTATGCTATGAACATAAAACGTAATTTGAAAGCTTAGTATACCGTGTAGTTGAATATAGCACTCCCCACATCTGATTCCCCAACAAAATCCGACACTTTATTCAAATCAGCTCCCATAATAATATTAGTATTTTTATCTCCCACCTGAATTCTGACCAAAAGCCTTCTCTGTCGCTCTCAGAGATTCCAGAAGATTAAGGAATGTGATACAATCATACTGAGAGAGATACTGCAGCAAAGTTCGTAGTATCTTCAAATCCTGAACCAAGGACTTAGTCTTGGCTCCAAGCTGGTGCCACAAGGGATCCAGATAATGGCGGATCGTCTAAAACAAGAATACAGTTTAGTATGGCTAAAAATATATTCGATATAGCTATTATTTTTTTATTTATTATTTGAGAGAGAGAGCGAGCGAGCGTGGGAGCAGGGGAGAGGCAGAGAGAGGGAGAAAGGGAATTTCACACAGGCTCCACGCTGTCAATGCTGAGCCTGATGTGGGGCTTGAACTCATCAACCATGAGCTCATGACCTGAGCCAAATTCAGACGCTTAACTGACTGAGCCACCCAGGTGTCCCCGATCATTTGTTTTCATGAAACATCAAAGCTTACAGCTTAGACCCGCCCAGTTTCTGCCGAGTTTGGCTGTGACCCTATCCTGGATACATAAAGATGTGGGATCCAGCTGAACAGGGAACAGAGGGCACATACCAGGGAAACTACATGATATCAAATTAAATAACGATGTACCTTAACTCTGTGGTGTAAGTGATTTGCTTGGGGTTTTTTTCCCCCCAATGTGATTCATGGATGGAAAAGAATTTGTTAAATTAACAAGGGACTACATTTGAATATTTTCTGGGATCCTAAAGTGTTGCCTAAAATGAAGGCTAGCTTTGGCATGTACTATGTAGGTATCTACGTATCCACTGCTACGTATATACACGTCCTTCACAAACTGATTCTTTTTTTTTTTTTTTACTGTTTATTTATTTTTGAGAGAGAGACAAGAGTGCGAGCAGGGGAGGGGCAGAGAGAGAGGGAGACACAGAATCTGAAGAAGTCTCCAGGCTCTGAGATGTCAGCACAGAGACCGACGCAGGGCTCGAATCCACGAACAGCGAAATCATGACCTGAGCTGAAGTCGGACTCTTAACCGACTGAACTACCCAGGCGCCCCACAAACTATTTCTTAACTAAAAAGGATAATACCTGTAGCATGCTATGGAAGGAGTATCACTACACGGCACCTTACCCAACAAATTCATACTCAGAAGGAGTATCTGGGTGACCATATAATTTACTGTCCAATCTGGGGCTCTTATGGAAATGAAATTACATTATTAATAATCACTCCGGGACAACAGACAGATCCTAGAACTATCCTAGACAAACTGGGACATATAACTGCATGCCTGCTTTGTAAAATAATCTACAAAAGTTAAATTTTCTGGGCACCTGGGCAGCTCAGGCAGTCGAGCATCCGACTATCGATTGCTGCATGGTTGTGGGATCAAGCCACGCTCAGTGTGGAACCTGCTTAGGATTGCCCCTTCCCCACTCCCCCGCCCCGCCCCTCTCTCTCATTCATGCTCTCGCTCTCTCTCCTATACTTTTTTTAATGCTTATTTATTTTTGAGAGAGACAGAGACAGAACACGAGCGGGTTAGGGGCGGAGAGAGAGGGAGACACAGAATCCAAAGCAGGCTCCAGGCTCTGAGCTGTCAGCACAGAGTCTCACATGGGGCTCGAACCCATGAACCATGAGATCATGACCTGAGCCAAAGTCGGACGGTCAACCAACTGAGCCACCCAGGTGCCCCTCGCTCTCTCTCTTAAACAAATGTTAATCTTCTGGGGCGCCTGGGTGGTTCAGTTGGTTAAGCATCCCACTTCGGCTCAGGTCATGATCTCACGGTTCGTGGGTCTGAGCCCCGAGTCAGTCTCTGTGCTGACAGCTTGGAGCCTGGAGCCTGCTTCGGGTTCTGTGTCTCCCTCTGTCTCTGCCCCTCCCTTGCTCATGCTCTGTCTTTCTCTGTCTCTCTAAATAAATAAATAAATAAATAAATAAATAAATAAATGTTAAAAAAATTAAAAAAATAAAAAAATTTTACAAATGTTAATTTTCTAACAAGATGAGAGTCATGTCTGCATTTACATCTGGTTGCTGAAAGAATACCCAAAATAATACTTTGACCTTTACCAGGGAATGAGAAACAGAAACTTAGTACAAAACCTATCAGGTTATATTTTGTTTTTTAATAAGGACGCACACATTCTATTAAAAGAATGGGAAGGGTTTTTTTGTGGTTTTTCTTTGTGGCTTCACATGCACTAAACTGTAAGAACAGAGGAACAAAACATAATGTAATTAGTTTTATGTATCATTATTTCAATAGAAGCACTTTCTGGAAGAATCAGAGATATGAGGAGTTAAAATTTTCCTTTTAAATAATCACTGTGAATTATTTCCAGTGACACACAGATGCATTCAGAGCTTAAAAGACAGGAACTTGTTCCACCAAAATATAGAAAAAAAAAAAAAAGCTGCCAGGAATTTTTTTAAAAGTCAGCGTTTTCTGGATCTACAATTCAATTTTAGACATTTACGCATCTGTATTAATATTCATCTACAATAGAAAACATCAGTTAGAATAAAAGTTCCTTGAACTAAAAGTCTTAACATTTTCTCAACTGAAAACGTAATTTTAGGACACAGCAAGGTTCACATTCCTCAGTAATGAAAACTCGTCCCAATTATTTTTATTCCAAACAGAAGATCATAAATTATGAAAGCATTCTCATGTAAAACTCTTCTATCTGTAGATATCCAAATGCTGTCATTTCAGAGCAAAAAGGTTATTTTTCCTTCTCTTAATTATACTTGAAATACAAGATAACCACTGTATAACTGCAAAAATAAAGAGTTGTGCTTACAGGTCAATCCATGTATTCTACTACAAATTATTACTCTCCAGTAAACCGAACAGGTTGTACTTAAATCACCTCCAGATGAGTTTTAAAATAACAACAATTTCTGGGGCGCCTGGGCGGCTCAGTCAGTTAAGCGTCTGACTTCGGCTCAGGTCATGATCTCGCGGTTTGTGAGTTCGAGCCCCGCACTGGGCTCTTTGCTGACGGCTCAGAGCCTGGAGCCTGCTTCGGGTTCTGTGTCTCCCTCCCTCTGTGCCCCTCCCCTGCTCACACTCTGTCTCTCTGTCTTTCTCAAAAATGCATATAAAAAAAACGTTTAAAAAAATAACAGCAATATCCTATTGAGGACACTGCAATTAGCAAAAGAACTTGGATTCTTCAAAGCTGTAACCTAACACACGGCGCTTACAAGGAAAAGAGGCAGAGTACCTTGTCAAACGGTTTTCCGATAGCATTTTCTAAAGACAAATCTTCAACTTCCAGCGATGGGTTGTGGCATTTCAGTTCTTTCAGACACGCATTTAGGATGTCCAGGATGGCAGTCTGTATGGCGAGCATGGCAGGCGTCATAGAAACGTGAATTTCTACAACTTCAGGTTTGTGCTGTTCTAAGAATGAGTTTACTGCTACATGGAACCTGAAGAGACAAATCGTTTCCAAACGTTTTCTCCGAGACCAGAAATAACACGGCTCTCAATTTTTGCTCTCTCAGGGTTTTTGGAAATGCAACTAAGACACAAACCAAACAGACAGCAAAATGACAATGTTTTCAGAAGTACTTTTAATCTCAACGAAAGGATGCATTCGTTGAATAAGGCGGGGGGTCAGCAAAAATATGGTCTGGGTCCAAACCAGTGCCTGTTTTTTTTTTTTTTTAATGTTTATTTATTTTTGAGAGAGAGGGAGAGAGAGACAGAGCACAAGCAGGGGAGGGGCAGAGAGAGGGGGAGACACAGAATCCGAGGCAGGCTCCAGGCTCTGAGCCGTCAGCAGAGCCCGACGTGGGGCTGGAAACCATGAACCATGAGATCATGACCTGAGCCAAAGTCAGATGCTCAACCGAGTGAAGCCACCCAGGCGCCCCGTTTTTGTTGTTTTTTTTTTTTTTTCATTCCCTGTTTTTAGAAATAGTGTTATTGGAACACAGCCGTGCCCAGTGTTTATGTATTGTCTATGGCTGCTTTCCTGATGTAACAGCAGACTGGAAGCATTGTCACAAACCACATGGCCTGCAAAGCCCAAAATATTTACTATCAGGCCCTTCACAGAAAAAGCTTGCCTATCCTTGAGACAGCATAATCAAGAAAGGCAAAAGACCCTGGCAATTACTCTCAAATACCATGTAGTGTAACCAAAATACGTATCAGCATAGGTGCGAGATGTTTGAACACTGGAACCTTCCGGGTTTTCCTAGACATTTACAGGAATTCTTCAAAACTCTTTACGCTTTGGGGCCCTGAGTGGCTCAGTCAGTTAAGCGTCCGACTTCCGCTCCGGTCACGATCTCACGGTTCATGAGTTCGAGCTCCGCCTCAGGCTCTGTGTTGACTGCTCGGAGCCTGGAGCCTGCTTCGGATTCTGTGTCTCCGTCTCTCTGCCCCTTCCCTGCTCGTGCTCCGTCTCTCAAAAACAAATAAACGTTAAACAAAATTAATAAAACAATCTTTGTGCCTTATTCCCTGACGGGTAATTTTCAGAGGGAGTTTAGTTCTCCTAAACCTGTTATATACCTTAGGCTCTCGATTCCCTGGGTGTTGCGCTAAACGTAGAAGAAGCAATAAAGTGGCTGCCTTTGGATGGATGTGACGGGCTACCAGAAAAGGAAATATCAAATCCGTCTCTCCTTTTAAAATAATCACAAATGAGGTAACCATATGTTTCTATTTGATGCACTTGGTATGGACCTGGCTATCGTATGTCAAGTGCAATTCCTATAAATTTTACATCACTTTCGAGTGCACGCTTAAGTCGTAGTGGATTCTCTCACAGAAATCTGTCACATAAGGCTATTTACCTTGGCCACAGATACAGCTTCCCTACGAAAAGATTTCGCATCACTCTTTCCACGTGACAAAAACCAGTGTCAAAGGCGACAGCATTGTCTGTGAAAGCTTTAATAAAACCACGCTTGTTTTTCTGGCGGAACAGACGCAAGATGAATGCTTCTTGACAAGACTCGATTATCCTGTGCGCTCTATACACCAAGATGCCTGGGAGGAGATAATAATTTAGATTACAGAACAGACAAGGAAGTTCATGCTCGTTTTCATTCACTGATTTTACCACATTTCTCTTGAGCACAGGCGGTGTGCTCGTCTGGGCCGGAGATACAGCAGTGAACACACAGATGGCAATCTGTGTCCTTGCGGTACTTACGATACACAATATAAACAAAGAGACGATTTAGTGAGTTGTACAGCGATAAGGGCTGGGGAGGAAAAAAGGAATCCGAGGAGGAGGAGGAGAGGGAGTGTGTGTGAGAGGTGATGGGGGGCAACTTTAGGCAGGGTCGCCTCGTTGAGGCTCTATCTGGGCCAAGGCTAGATGGAAAAGAGGAGGTGAGCCTTGTAACCACGTGCACCAAGACCGGTCCAGGATGAGGGGACAGTAAGAGCAAAGGCCCTGGGGTGGGGTGTGTCCGGCACGGCGGAGGAAGAGTTTCTGAAAGCAAAGTGCCTCGCTGACTCTCCTTTCATATGGGAACCAGATGTGGACTACAGAAAAGAGGGCCATTTCACAAGTCTGGGTAACATCTGTACCACCTACTAGAATAATTCAATTTTTGGAATCAGAGGATATTCAACTGAGAGATAAACTAGCCCATTAAAATATAGACCTTTAATGAATATATTTACTACATCTGGGTTTGGGGGTGCTGTGATTAGGACACTTCTGAGATCACAAAAACAAGGAAATTATTATAAATTTCCTTATTTATAAAATGAGAGCACTGACCAGATAACCTTTCTTTTGTGTGTATAATACATCCATGAGACATGACACATATATGCCATTTTGATGCAGGGTGATTAGCAAATTAGGAAGACGTATGACACAAGAGTGCACGGATGTCATTTCTGAATCAAAAACTCAATTATTCTGTGATGATTCTTAGTCTTTGAGACCGACATCAAGCCAATTACCTTACATAAAAATTTGTCATAAATGTGCTTATGTGTTTTTGTACCAGTTCCCATGACTCCTAGCATCTGGGAAATGACATTAATAGTGATTTATGGCCCCTTTTAGTAGTTCAGGAGGCTCAATTCAGATTCTGCTCTTTTGGCGTTTAAGTTTTGGACTGAGGTGGAGAGAGCTACCATCTATTCTAATTCTAGCTAAGCACACTATTTTTCAGATGTGCTAAAAATCAGTAAGTGTTATTCAGGAATTTACAGACAAAGGGTTTTCAATAACTGCAATACGTGTACATAACAAATTTACAACTCAGAAAAGATCCTGGACTTAAGACGCTGGGCTTTTCCAAGTACTTTACTGGGCTACACTTGGCTGGCCTAGACTGAGATATTATATAAGGTTGAAGTGATAAAGGTGGGCTTCTAAAGGAAAGATGGGCCTCAATTTAAGACAATGTTCTGCTCCAGCTCACCTGGTGGCTCAGTTGGGTAAGCGTCTGACTCGTGATCTCAGCTCAGGTCATGATCTCACGGTTTCGGTTCGTGAGATCGAGCCCCATGAGAGCCTGCCCAGAGCCTGCTTAGGATTCTCTCTCTTCTCCCTCTCTACCCCTCCCCCGCGCGTGCACGTGTGCACACAGGTTCTCCCTTCTCTCAAAATAAATAAAGAAACATTAAAAAAAGAAAAAAGAAAGAAAATGTTGTGTTCCAAAAGGCTGTCATTCTTTTGGAACCCAGATGGAAGAAGAGAATACTCCATCCCGGGCACTGGGGTCAGGTACTTTTGCAGACTTATTCATTTAATCCTCAGAATTCTATGATGTAGGTATTGTTATGAGATCAGGAGAGGCAAACAGGTTGATCAAGGTCATCCGCCAAGCAATGGGAGGCTAAAGGTCCCAAACCATGTGTGCCTGAAGACAAAGCCTGGTTTCTCCTAAGTGACACCCCCTGAGGACTCCCCACCACCCCCGACACACCGTTTGAAAAACCAGCAACAAGAAAACACGAGCAGGTATACTTCTGGGGGCAACTGCGGTCTCACCAAAGCCTCCTTACATTTCATTCTGATGCTCCCACAACAGTTCGTATCTCATCCTGTACTGCGAGTACTGCTTTCCACCTGCCTCCTCCACGACACCGCTTGAGGACAAGGACATCACAACAAGCAGTCATCAGAGAATGCTGGACTGTGTGCTGAGCATGAAGCTAAGAATTTTACAAACATGATCTCATTTCACCCGTGTGCTAAGCCTAAGAGGAAGGCACTATTACAGTCTCCCATTTATGGGTGAGTAAACGGAGTCCTGATGACATTAAGGAACGTGCCAGGGGTCACAACTTTGGTACACAGGGGAGGCGGGGTCAAACCCAGAGGGAGCCTAGCTCAAGAGTTCACCAGTCTCTCGTTCATCTGTCTCCAGGACCTACCACATCCCTGCCAAACAAAGGACCCTTAGGACACTAAATGTTTGTTGAGTGAACAGAAAACTGGATTATAGCACTGGGCGCACGAACCTAACATGTAACATGGGAGGGTTTTTTTAAGCGTCCCGTGGAAAG